CTAGGCGCACGGGCTTCAGTAGTTGTGGCACGTGGGCTCAGCAGTTGTGGCTCGCGGGCTCTAGAGTGCAGGCTCAGTAGTTTTGGTGCACAGGCTTAGTTGCTCTGCGGCATGTGGGATCTTCCCGGACCAGTGCTCGAACCCGTGTCCCCTGCATTGGCAGGTGGATTCTTAACCACTGCACTACCTGGGAAGTCCCTCATTGCTATTATTGATAATAATAACTGTGCTCCCAGGAGAAGAGGGAGTCAGGGAGGAAAGGGGGAGGTTCTTACCTTATTACATCTCCTGAGCATCATCCTCAGAAATCCAAAGCTCTGACTCCTGCCAGAGGGAAAAAAAAGTTAAGGAAGAAATTTAGAGGCAGCCTGAGGCATTTTCTATATATAAATAAAACAAGAAACAAACCAACAACGATAGCTGATATTTGTTGAGCTCTGTGTGCCAGGCACTATGCTAAACATATTATAGGGCTTCCCTGGTGGCGCAGTGGTTGAGAGTCCGCCTGCCGATGCAGGGGACATTGGTTCGTGCTCCGGTCCGGGAAGATCCCACATGCTGCGGAGAGGCTGGACCCGTGAGCCATGGCTGTTGAGGCTGCGCGTCCGGAGCCTGTGCTCCGCAACGGGAGAGGTCACAACAGTGAGAAGCCCGCGGTACTGCCAAAAAAAAAAAAACATATAGTGATTACGTACTTAGATCCTCACAACCACCCTTTGTGGTCAATGCTATAATCACTCCCATTCTGCTGATGGGAATACTGAGTCTGGGAGAGATTAAGTGACTTGCCCCAAAACACCCAGCTAGGAAGTGGCAGAGCTGAGAATGACTACCAGTAGTCTGGGCACAAAGCCTGTGTTCTCTGCAAGTAGCAATGACATCCGTCTGAGGAGCCTTGACCATAGGGAAACCTTCTGTGTCCATTCTCGTTGCCAGCTTGGGGGTCCATGACTGTTCAGACAATGGACCACACCCATTTTCAGCTGAGGGCTGAGTGCTGTATGGAATTTACCTGCCTCGGAAGAATGAAAACCTTGCCCAGCCTCTCTCCCCTAAAATTTCCACCTTGGTACAGCAAAAGAGTCTTGGAAGGGTCTAGTGCAGAACAGAGAGGAATCCCTAATGTTGACAGGAGAGAGGTGAGGTTGGAGTTGGCCAGAGAACAGTGAGAACCCTGGCTCTGACACTTCCTGACTCCTCTCTGAGCTTCACTTTCCTCTCTGTGAAATGGGCTGATTATAGTGCTTAACTCTGAGGACTCCCGAGAGAAGTGAATGAGACCCCGCTAACGCCATGCCTGGCATGCATCCCCATAGGGATTTTGTGAGGATTAGATGAGTATACACATGTGAAGAGCTTAGATCAACTCTCTGGCAGCTGGTAAGCAGGCAAGTCTTACTATTCTAGACTCTCCCTGGGTAACTTCACTTTAAAGGCTTCAATTTCTACTTATACTTTCAAAAGCTCTATCTGCTTATTTTCTTCTGAGCTCTAAACCTAAGAGCTTCAGTGTTCAACAGGACATTTCCACTTGGGGGGCACATGGGCTTTGCTCATTCTCTAGCCCTTTGTATGTATTTAATACCTCTGCCTAAAAAGCCAGCTGTTAAGGAAAACAAAAGTCATTTTCTAGGGTGGTGTGATTTGGGTGGCAAAGAACAGAGACTCGTTAGGCAGCCTCAAGTTAGGAAAGTTTCAGGGAGGCCCTGAGTGGGGACACGCCAGGCAGGAATTTCAGCTATGGACCGGCCCAGCTTTGTTCCCTGGGTTGCCAGGCAGGAATTTCAGCTATGGACCGGCCCAGCTTTGTTCCCTGGGTTACCTGTTGCGCAGGCTCCTTCTGGGCAGCCTTCCCTTGGGGGAGGGCCTCTCTCCTGACTACTTGGCTGCCTCCATGCCATAGGTTGGGTGGCTGCATATGGCCCCCAAAGTCTTAGGGTAGCATCCCTTGGAGAACCTGGAGCTTAGCCATTTTATCATGGGGTCCTCAAAGGCGCTAGCTTCTCTTCTGTGGAAGCCCATCCCTGAAGCCTTGGCCTTGTGTGTTCCTTCCTGCACCCCACTCAAACACCCCTGGCTTTGGGACGTCTCTCCACCTCATTAGTCATTTCCTCCTCTGTTCCATAGCGTCTAAACACAGCATATCGTAGTTATTGATGTCCAGAGCTCGTTCCCAACTAGGCTGTCAGGTAGGCAGGGTAGGAGGTGTGTATTATTCATATTGGTATCATCACCACCGAATGGGCCGTCAGTACTTGTTTGCTGAGTGAATAACACAACGGAGACTCTCCACATGAATTAGGCCAGCTGGGTCTGGGTTGGCATTTTATTTACTTGTTGATTTTTAAAGTAAATTAGTTGTTTTAAAAATATTTTTGTAGGGAGTTCCCTGGCAGTCCAGTGATGAGGACTTGGCATGTTCATTGCCGTGGCCCTGGGTTCAATTCCTGGTCAGGGAACTAAGATCCCACAATCTGTGAGGCGTGGCCAAAAAAATTTTTTTTCTTTTGTATTGATAGTTTAAAAATAACATGTATCTCGAAACCTATTTTTAGGGCTTCCCTGGTGGCGCAGTGGTTGAGAGCCCGCCTGCAGCAGGGGACACGGGGTTTGTGCCCCGGTCCGGGAAGATCCCACATGCCGCGGAGCGGCTGGGCCCGTGAGCCATGGCCGCTGAGCCTGCGCGTCCAGAGCCTGTGCTCCACAGCGGGAGGGGCCACAACAGTGAAAGGCCCGCGTACCGCAAAAAAAAAAAAAATTTTTTTAAATTCCGAATGTGTAAAATTAAATGTTAAAAATTCCCCTCACTTCTCTTCCAAGCAATCCCCACAGGCAAATACCAGTAAAAAACATTTTAATGGCTTTATTGATATATAATTTGGATACCATACAATTCACCCATTTAAAGTGTACAACTCAGTGTTATTTAGTGTAGTCACAGGGATGTGCAACCACTATCACAATCTAATTTTAGGATATTTCTGTTTCCCTCCAAAGAAAGTATCCATCAGCTTTCCATCACCACCCTAGCCCCTCTCCCAGCTCTAAGCAACCACTAATCCACTTCCTGTCTCTAGATTTTTTTGCCTAGTCTTGGACATTTCATATATATGGAATCATACAATATGTGTGTCTGGCTTCTTTCACTTAGCATGTTTTTGAGGGTCATCCATGTTGTAGCATGTATTAGTACTCTATTCCTTTTTATTGCCAAATAGTATTCCATTGTATTAATATTGTATATTTCATTTATCCAGTCATGTCACAATTTTTTAAAAAAGTAAATGTATTTATTTATTTTTGGCTGCGTTGGGTCTTTGTTGCTGTGCTCAGGCTTTCTCTAGTGGCGAGCAGGGGCTACTCTTCGTTGCAGTGTATGGGCTTCTCATTGCGGTGGCTTCTCTTGTTGCAGAGCATGGGCTCTAGGTGCCCAGGCTTCAGTGGTTGTAGCTTGCGGGCTCTAGAGCGCAGGCTCAGTAGTTGTGGCACACGAGCCTAGCTGCTTTGCAGCATGTGGGATCTTCCCAGACCAGGGCTCGAACCCGTATTCCCTGCACTGGCAGGCGGATTTCCAACCACTGTGCCACCAGGGAAGTCCCAGTCATTAGTCACTATTAACAATTTAATACACCTCCTGTATTTGTTCAGATTGTCTGGGTTTGAATCTCTACTGGACAAGTTCCTAGAGGAATGACTTTTGGTAAATTATAATCTCTCCAAGCTTGGCTCAGTTTCCTCAGTAGAAAAATTTGAATAACAAAGGAGTCTACCTCATAGAGTATCATGGTTGTACTGTCACGGTAATTATTATTTGTTGAGCACTAAGTATGTGCCAGGCATTTTAGGTATCTAACAGATAGATCTATGATTTACAAATTAGGGAACTGAGGTTAGGAGAAGTTAGGTAATCTCCCAGGGTTAAACATCCCCTTAGAAATTGATGGAGGTAAATAGAATCACAGGCTGCCTGCAAAGCCTGCACTATTACTGTTAATATCACGGAATAGCAAAGCACTTATCAAGGGCCTTGCAAAGAGAATGTGTTTGGTAAATGATCTGATATAACTATTAAAAAGTGGGGAAAAAAGACATCTGCCATTGTTAATTTTTGGTATATTTCCTTCCAGTCTTTAGGAAATATTTCAAACCATACCAAAATTCCAGAAAATAATAGACATCAACATTTCACCTCTTTTTTTTTTTAAGAACACAAAATTTAGTAGATTAGGTGGCTCTATCTCCCATACCCTTAGGTATTTTTTTCCCTATGCTTATTTTTCCTTAGGTTATTAGAGTCACACCACATCATTTTCCATCTTTTAAATCCTATCTTGAGCATTTCCCTAGCATATCAAATTATGCTACATGGTTTCTCATGGTCACATATATTGATATACTGTATGGTTCAAACATGATTTATCAATTTCTCATTGTTGGGTATTTAGGCTGTCTCCCAGCAAAATTATCATTACACATCGATCTTTCTTCAAGCATCTGATAATTCCCTTTCGACAAATTCCTAGAAAGGCTGGAAGGTCACAGACTGCTTGTCATTCAAGCTCTTTGTACTTTCCTGCCAAATAGCTCTGAAGAATGGGAAATGGGAGAAGGGAGGCGGAGATTTTTTTCCCCCACTTTTTAGAACGTTTTATTCAATTATAACACACATAGAGAAAAATGCACATAAGCGTGCAGCTCACTGACTTTTCAGAAACAGAACACACCGCGTACCCAGCACCCAGGTCCTGAAATAGAGCATTTCCAGCGGCCCCGGGCCGTCTCACCCCTTGCCATTGTTACTATTCCCCGGTTTTTTTTTTGCGGTACGCGGGCCTCTCACTGTTGTGGCTTCTCCCGTTGCGGAGCACAGGCTCCGGACGCGCAGGCTCAGCGGCCATGGCTCACGGGCCCAGCCGCTCCGCGGCATGTGGGATCCTCCCGGACCGGGGCATGAACCCGGGTTCCCTGCATCGGCAGGCGGACTCTCAACCACTGCGCCACCAGGGAAGCCCCCGGGGTGGGATTTTAATGCCGCAAAGGCCTACTAATCCGATTACGTCTTTGGAAATTTACTTTATTCATACTACTTAGATATAACTTAGACCACGAAAACGTGAGCTAAATCCTGCCTGCAAACGCTTAACAGTCTGAAGTCGAGCTGGGCGTAGAGGACAGGGCTCGGACGGCTAGAGGGACATGCAGGGCTCGCGGCCCCGCCGGGTCCTCCAGGCTCCCGGTGTGCAGCGCGGCGATCCCGGCGTGCACCGCGGCGCGCGCAGCCGGCCCCAGGGAGCTCGCTGTGGACGGCCGGTGCGGCGGCGGGGCTGTGTGGAGCTTCGCGGGTGCTGTCGGCCGGAGGCGAAGAGGCGGGGTCGACATGGAAGTGTAAGCAGCTCGGGGCGCGTCGCTGGGTTTGGGCCGACGCTCACAGCTGGCGACCGCTAGACCCTGGGAGCCGGGAGACATGTTCCTGGGGCGACCCCTCGTCGCGGTGGGGAGGGCGACGGATCGGGAGGCGAGGGAGGAAGCGGCTCTCGCTCTGCTCCTCCGAACCTTCGCCCCCACGCCCACCGCGTGCCCAGCACGCGGGGCCGAGTGCCACTTGTCCCGGCTGCCTTTCAGGGTGCCTGTTCCCTCCCTCATCCACTCACTAGCGTTGCAGGCGTCACGGTGGGGAGCCTGGCCCAGTGTTGGAGCGGGAACTTCGAAGGTACAAAGCCCTGGGTCCGGCCTGGAAGTACTTGGAGGAGAGATGGGTAAATGCTGGGGTAGAGCTTTGCTTAGGGGCAGTGGGCTCCTTTGGAACCCTAACTCAGAACAGGTGCTGTCCAAGTTTGATGAGAAGCATTTAGCTATTTGTGTGTGGGTGTAGGGAGGGAGTAAAAGCCATTTTAACAGTTTTAACTCCACATGGTCTTTTCCGTGTCTGCTCATTGTACCGGGTGCAAATGGAAGTTTTTGTAGCTACTCTGTATGTGGATTTTTGCACGGTTGACGTTAACTTGTAGGCATACTATATTGTGTTCTCTTTGCCACCGATTATTTAATATTGATACTTTCTTTTATGTTCTTTAGCCTGTTTAATGTCTACATGTACTACTGTTTTTCAGACTTAAAAAAACACTGTATGTATATGTAACTGAAACGAAAGCTTCATGAGACAATGCAGTGTGCAGTACACTCTGATAGTCTCTTTTATTAAAATAGGGTGTAGACCCACTAAACTGATTTTGCAATCCACTAATGGGGTTTAATCTGCAATTTGAAAAACATGCATAATATTACTCTAGCCCAAGCCGTCATTATCAATTTTTCCCTCTTTATTAAGCATTTCCTGTCAGCATACAGACCAGCTTTAATTTATCTATCTTAAAAGAAAAATCCCTTGTCTGTCCCTACATCCATGTCCACCTGTTGCTCCCTCTCTGCTTCCTGTCACCAGAAAACTTCTTAGAAATGTTGTTTATCCCCTCATTCTCTCAATCATTCTTTTGGGCTTCCATCCTCACCAGTCTACAGAAATGGGTCTTAGGTAGGTTACCTGAGCCTTCCATCTTGTCAAATTCAGAAGTTGATTTTCTGGCCTCAACTTCCTTGATCCCTTAGCAGCAATTGATACAGAAACTCAAGACACTCTCTTGGCTTTGTGACGTGCTCTCTTGGATTTCCTCCTACATCAAGGACTACTTCTCAGTCTTCTTTCCTAGCCCCGCCTGCCTTCCTTGCTTGGGCTTCTAAATGTTGAAGTATTTTAGGGCTCAGTCCTGGGACCCTTTCTCTCCACATTCCCTTGGTCATTTTACCCATCTGTATGCAAATGATTCCCCAGAATATATTTCTAGCCCTTTTCTCTTATCCATCCAGTTGCTTAAACCAGAAATCTAGCCCTCTTTCCTCACCTCTAAATCAAGTCCATCAGCCAGTCCTGTCATCTCCACGTTCAGAATGTATTTTGAATGCAGCACCATCCCCACTGCTAATTTTGTAGTTCATCATCTCTGGTCCAGATTAAGCAATAGCCTTTGGTTTCCACTCTTGCCCCGCCCCCTCCATTCTGTTTTCCACACAGCAGCCAAAGTGAATTAAAATATTAATTGGATCAAATCACTCCCTGTGTAAAAACCCTTCATTGCTTTTCTGTGTGCTTAGAGGATATCTGCATTTCTTAGTAGGACTACAAGACGCTACGTAACCTCACCCACTCACCAACCTTGTCTCTTGCCACTGTCCCCTCCCCCAAAGAGACACACTTTCCACTGGCAGTCAAGTAATTTCGGTAACTCTCCAAGCCCTTGCATTGCTGTTCCCTCTTCCTGGTAGACTTTTCCCCCTGTCCTGCCCACTTCTTATCTTTTTGACAGCTCAGGTTGAGTGTCCTTTTTCAATGTTGTTTTTCCTCTTTGGTAAATCCAAAATAAGTCCTGCTTTTTGTCTCTCATAGAACCTTTGTTTACTTTTCCCTTAAATAATTACAAGTTCTGATAATAGATGTATGTTTACATGTCTAGTGTATTGTCTCCCTCTTGAGAGTGTAAGTATCATGAAGGCAGGGACCAGTGTCTGTTCCCCTAGTGCTTAGCAGCGCATCTGGCACACAGTAGCCCTTTGGCAAACACAGTCGGCCTTCTGTATTTGCTGGTTTAAACCCCCAGTCGTGGGTTTCACATCCACAGACACAGAGGGCTGACTGTACTTGTGGAGTGAAGTAATATAACAATACTTCATTAATTTAATAAATTAAATTAATAAAAATTAATATAAATTATTTAGCTAGTTTCCTGATTGCTGAGCATATAGATTTTCTGATTTTCCTAAGTGAAATGGTTTCAATCAAGAGTTTTTTCTCCTATATAGTAACCTGTCAACTTCTCCCAAGGAGTCAGTGACTCATCAAGAATTTTGTGGCTAGAGTTTGTGGGAAAATGAGGTTTTCTGAGGTAGGCATGTGGTTTGGGGGTGGAGGGGCCCCTGGAATGAGACTGTCTGGAGGCCTAATTCTGTGTTTTTTGGGCCCCAGCATGCGGCATGTGGGATCTTAGTTCCCCGACCAGGGATCGAACCCGTGCTCCCTGCCTCAGAAGGGCGGAGGCCTAACCGCTGGACCGCCAGGGAAGTCCCTGGAGGCCTAATTCTAGTTCTTGCCTGGCCTCCAGCATGAGGTGTGACCTCTGGGAGTGTGGTCCTTAGGATCTTCAGGAGACCCCTAGGTCTCTGAGAGGGCAAACACATTGTACCTGTTAGGCATTCCCAGGACCTGCAGTGAGGAGGCATGGATGGAAAACTCCCTTGAGTTTTTACTACTTTTTTTTCTTCAATCACTGAGTAACTACCTACTGTGTGAGTGATACATATAGATAGACACACACCAGAAGTTTTTTAAAGGTAAGGAATATTTATGCTTTATTTGGTTGAACGATAGACTTTAAAAATAAAAACTTTTTTTTTTTTGCGGTACGTGGGCCTCTCATTGCTGTGGCCTCTCCCTTTGCGGGGCACAGGCTCCGGACGCGCAGGCTCAGCGGCCATGGCTCACGGGCCCAGCTGCTCTTTAGCATGTGGGATCCTCCTGGACTGGGGCACGAACCCACGTCCCCTGCATCGGCAGGTGGACTCTCAACCACTGCGCCACCAGGGAAGCCCTAAAATTAAAAACTTTTTGACCATCACATCGGATAAAAGGATATAAAACATTCATAGCAAAATTAAGTATTTGTATACTAAGGTATTTGCTGTTTGGCTAACTTTCTCTAATGCCTCGGGACTATTTATATGCCTGGAAAATTTTGTGTTCATCCTTTTATTCTTGAATTTAGTATACATAGTTATGGAAAATGGAGTTTCTTCCACATCATCTTTTTGAGATAGTGTCAGAATTTCCTTCTTTTTACAGCTGGAAATACTGAGGTTTAGAGAAGTTAGCTAATAGGTCTTATAGCAATTCAGTAACAGGACTGGAAAGAGGATAATTTGCTAGCTCCCAAGTGAATGCTACAGTTTAAATTGTTCATTGACTTTGAAGGCTGCTCAGTTTTCTTGGACCAGAGTTTAGCTTTTCAGAACAGGAGTTGAGTCAGTAACATAGGTTAAACATAGGAGAATTTGAGCAATTCTGTTTGTCATTGTGTTCGTAAGAGTTAACTGTGTGGCAGTTAATAGGCACTGTTTGCTTGGACTTTTTTGTGCATGTGTGAGTCTCTAAGGAAAGTCCGTCAGTAGATCATTTTGTTCTGTTTATTCAGAATTTGATTTTCTGAAGTAGTTGTTTGTGTCCATTAAATTGACTCAGCAAGTTAAGCAGATTTTACAGGTTAAATTTCAAATAGTACGTCAGCTTCAGTCAGCTAATTCATGACTTAAGGAAATTGACTGCCTTCCTGTAAGTATAGATTCAGACAGTCTTTAAAATTCACTTGGAATATTTGCTTTAAACATCTGTAAGTAAAATCAGTACCATTCTAAGTCCTACAGGAGAGTATGAAGTAAAAAAACATTGGAGGAGAATGTCCTCAATTACAAGTTATACTAATGTATTTTTTTTTTAACTTCATGGAATTCTTTAGTTTTACATCTCCATTTTTCTCAACTTTTTACCTTGAAAAATTTCAAACCCATGAAACAGTTGCAAAAAGAGCATCTCAAGTTCCTTTATATTCTTTACCTGGGGTCACCATTTGTTAACATTTTTGATGTATCTGCCTTCTCTTTGTTACACATGCCTACATTCTCTCTCCACACACACTCTTTACTGAACCAGTTCAGAGTTGTAGAGATGTCATTTTATCAGTCTTAAAAAGACATTCTCCTGTGTAACTGCAATACCATCATCACACCCAGGGAATTTAGTGCTGATATTACCACTATTATTAAAATGCAACCTATATTAAAATTTCTCCAATTGTTCTAATAATGTTTTATCTGGATTTTTTTTAAAAATTGATTCAGGATCCAATCAAGAATCACACATTGCATTTAGTTGTCAAGGTTCTTTAATCTCCTTTACTCTGAGAAGTTTCTTAGCCTCTTTTTGTGACATTGACATCGTGACAAATGATAGTGATATTTGAAGAATCTAGGCCAGTTGATTTGAAGAAGGTTTCTTAGGTTGGGTTTGTCTGATTATATTCTCATAACTACATTTTCTGACAGGATTGCTATAAGGGATGTTTCCTTCTCAGTGCATCACCTCATCATTATTGGTGCTGTTAAATTGGATAACTTGATTAAGTTGATGTCTGTCAAATCTCACCATATCCTGTTCTCAACAACCTGCCACTTCGTGGTGGTTACAGTAACTTCTTCAGGATAAAAACTGCCTTCAAAAAAAATTTCCCAATACACACAGTTCATTTAGGACTCAGTGAAAGGCAGATACTGTACTCGTTGAC